AGAGAGAGAGAGAGAGAGAGAGAGAGAGAGAGAGAGAGAGAGAGAGAGAGAGAGAGGAGTGGGGGGGGGGAGAAACAGAGTACGTCGCACGTACAGCAGGTGTCAAAAAGAATAAAATCGAAAAAATTAAATACATAAGTACTGGTACCAGAACTTGTTTGTTGAAAGTTCAGAAAAAATATCGCGATAGCCGTACAAAAATGTGTCTCCCAGAATCGCATTGTACGCGCAGCTTGAAACTAAAACGTGTGACATTTTTCTCTCTTTTCTGCAGTATGGGCGGAGACGGGGGACTTTCGGGACTCGGGGCAGCACTCCATGCCGGCCATGTCCAGCCCCGTCAACAGCCCCGACACCCACATCGGCTTCAGCAGGAGCAGGTCCAGGGACAGGAAAGGTGAGTGCAATGTTCGGCGCTAACAGGTGCCCTCGGCGACGAGCAAGAGCAGCCCCCCCTCCCCCTCCCCCCCGAGGAGCGGTGCGCGCCCAGCACACTGCACACTAACCTGAGAGAGGCATTACAAACAAACCCCTCCGACACGCACGCACACACACACAGGCACACGGCCACACACACGCTCACACACAGGCGCACGGCCACACACACGCTCTCACACACGGCAGACACTGTGTGGTGTCGGTAGATAGCGCTGCGGTGCGGTCTACATAACCCTTATCTCCCAGGTAAATACTACTATACAGCTGTAATCACACGACTGCTCCGCCCTCCTCTGCGCCGAGCTCCGCGGCGCTGCGGCCGGGCCTCGGGCTGGGCCTCGGGCCGGGCCTCGGGCCGGGCCCGGTGGAGGGAGATAATAGTTCTTGTTTCCAGGTTCCATCGCCGCTCTTACTCTCTTCCCCGCTGCGCACACGGTTTAGAAAAGGCCAAGAACACCTGTAGTAAAAGCGCGCGAGTACGTCCGGCGGGTGCAGCCTGGACGGTGGGCAACGCGGCGACACGGCTGTGCGCGCATTGCCTACCCGCCGGGCGCACTGCCCAGCCTGGACGGTGGGCA